TCTTTCCCTCCTGGATCAGACTCTTACCAGCTGGTGCGATTCCGTAACAGCCATCAGGGCTTTATTGCATTAAACTTGGTAAGAGAAACAGGAGCTCTGTGCCTGCGGGGCTTAGCATGGGGGAGGAACCTTTGGGGAAATGTTAGATAAACAGCCTTGGATACTTCTGAAACATCTTAATTGCTCTTTACAGTCGTTACTTTTTCAACACCTACTAAAAAGGTTGAAAATTGCTTGTGCTGTGTATTTGTAGATCCCAAGGATTTTTGCAAAGAACAACAGTGGTGTTATACCCACTTGCTTATGAGGGTGCGAGGTGCAGGTCAGAGATGTGCTGAGGAACCTGGGGCTTTAGCAGGGCCAGGGCAGACTCCACGGCTGGAATGCGACTTGCCAAACCACCAGCTCCCTTTGGATGAGGGGTCACGGCAGTGCTGGATGTGCTGTGGCTCAGAGCTCAAAATCTGATTGCATGAGGCAGTGTGGCTTCAATAAATATTACATGGCATAGACAATAAATCCTTTCGGACATCTCCTGGAGTGGTACCTAGGGAACGTTGACATGGAAAAGTGGGAGAAGGTGTATACATGAGTGCGTATTATTGTGTAGTGCTGAAGCATCTTACTGATGCTGCTTGTATCTAGAAGACCTGCTGGAAGCTCAGCTAGAGAAACAGCCAGGTATCTGCTCCGAGTATGTCCCTAGAGATTCAGATGCTGCAGGTAAAGCTGTCCTCGTGATCGCTTGGGTGTTCATTAGTTAACTGGGTTTGAGCTGGTGGGATTGTTTGGAATTTCTTAAACCTTTGTGTGCTAGGAGTTTTCACAGTCTTATAAACTGGCATTTCAGGAAAAAATGGAAGGTAAGACCTTCATTTCAAGTAGCATTGTTTTTGCACATCTTAAAAGCTGCAGCGTCTGACTGACTCTTCTCATGTGGAGGTGAAAAAGACACTGAGAAAAATTGGTGTCATCGGCACAGAACGTCACTAGTTCTGCAAAGGGGGATTTGAGCCTCTGGGGCTCTATCCTAGGAGTGTCCAGAGGCTACAGGGGTTGACTTGAAGCTGTGCCACTGCAAGCAGTGGCTCTGGAACAGCATCCCAGTGAACGTGCTTGCCAGAACTGCAGCTGGTGCTTGTGGTGGTGCCAGGCTGCCAGCGCCTTGGGATTCCTGAGAGAGGAGCAGGGCGGATGACAGTTGGGCCTAAATAGGAGATGTATGCATGAATGAGATATTTCATTACTTGTGCCGGTAAGCTGGGCCTTGAACGCGTGATTATCGTAACTTGCTGGCAGCAGTTCAGTGGTAACGCTGCCTGTGGGGCTTGCAGGTGAGCTTGGGAGTGGAGCCTGAGTCAGCGCATCTGCAGGACTCGCTCTGGAGTCATGAGGTTATTTGTGTCACACTGGATGGCAGTTGTCAAAGCAGTATTGTGTTGCTATGCATCAAACAAAGGGTAGAGTAAAATATTAGGGTTTATTTTTTTCAATTAAGAATTCTTATTTGTCCCTCAGGGACAAGCAGATAGAAAGCAGCTTGTCTTGGCTCTCGTGAGTGTTCCTGGGGCAGGAACGGGAGGGAGGGGACGAACAACAGGAGCAAAGCTTTGCAGTAATGAGAGTGACGTCTTATGTCTTGATTAGGTATCAACTAAAATGTGGTTCCAGGAAGCAGGAACAGATGGCTTTGGGGTTTTATTCTGCTCTTTTATATCTTTGATTGTCACCAAGACTTACCATAAATGTTTTAACACCTGCCAGCTCTTTTTTTACCTTACAGGTTTTTGCTCATCCTCAAAGACAAAGTAAGCTGTTAGACTTGTCTGGCTTGCTTGTGTGTTTTTTTTTTTTAAATCAATAATATTAATACATGAAGTCACTGAGAGTTGGTTCCATCATTATCTTCTTACAAAAGGTGCTTCTTTTTATAATAAAAATAACTTTGAGGTTACTGATTACTCCAAGTGCATTTTGATAGTAAATTAGGGCTAAACTGACTGCATTTTATACCTGGGTGTTGAGAGGGTGTTGTCCCTCTCTGTCATAGAAGAGAGACACCAATTCAGAGACACTACTTGAGCCCTTCTGGAAGGTGCAAGCTACCCTAGGGGCTTGCAGGAACTGGCCTTTGTAAAGCAGTCAGGCTTTTTGTTTTATGGCTTTTGTTCAGTATTGCTCTTGCTTACCAGCGCATCCAGAGAGTGGGTTTTGCTTCTCCTGTGTCCTCTTAGCTGCCTTGAAGGATGATCTTAATTGCCTCCCAATTTTTTCACTAGGGTGGTGAAATCCAGGACTGTGCCTGCTTGGACAGCGAAAGCGCCTACAGCGAGTCAGAGCTCTTTCCTGATGACGACGCGATGACTCTAGCACAGCAAGAGCTTCACCATGAGTCTGACATGGACAGTGCTATTGAGAGTGCCCAGAGCTCGGAGGCCTCCGACGTGTGTCCAGGCGAGGAGAAGGACGGGGTGCTTGGTGGCCTCTTTCTGCCCGGTGACAAGTGAGTGGTGGTTTAGCCTCGTGGCAGCCCTGTTTTGAGGCACGTGCAAAAGAACCATGGAAGAAGGAGCCTTTAATTGACTAATTCCTACTGTGGGGGGCTGAGGATGCCTGAAGGATTTAGAAACTTAATATCCATTTACAATATAAGGGCAGTGGATGTCCACGGCCTCTAAGTGGCTTAGACAGTCTCAGCCGTGGCCCCTTCTGGCATGTTCTGTGAGCACTCATGGGACTTGCATGTTGTGTGCTGAAGTGAAAGTGTTGGGCCTCTCGAGAATGGATCATTTCATTAGCGTCCCCCAAAACTTAAGATCTTCTGTGTTCCCATAGCCTTTATGTGCTGGAACTAAATACTTCTTGCAGAACAGTGTGATGTGGGGGATGCTGCTTCAGTCTTTTGTACATCTAGTTATCTGAAGGTGTGGGCTCTGCAGATTCACTTTGCAACTCCATGTACCAAGTTAATTCTGTGTGTTTCTAACCTTCCATGACGTTTAGTGTGCTGCAGTGAATCGTGTTTAACACAGAGTGTCCGAGCATGCGTGTGTAACCGTAGTTCGCTGTTAACACAAGAGTGTCCTGTAACCCTAACTTGACTCTTCCCAGGTGTGTGCCTGGGGGGGTGTTGGTAAAAGCTGACTGGGGGAAAGGGACCCAACGTGATTTAATCCTGCTTTGAACGGAGTTAATGCAGTACCACAGGACAGAGCTCTGCTGAGCTTGCTTTGTAAGCCTCTGCCCTGTCTTTTGGCTTGTCGTCTTGCCGTGTGCCTCTTGAGCTTCCTTCCTTGCTAAGGCAGTCTTCCTTCCCTCTCCTGGGCTTCCTCGGATGCTCCCTCTGCAGCCTCATTCCTACCCTCCTCCCGAGTTTCTCAGCCTGCTGTGATCTGGCCTTCTCCCATTTGCCCAAGCAATCCCAGACTTTATCAAGACACTTCCAGTTTTCATCAGCTCATTATCAAACTTGTCACCCTGCCAGTTCTTCGAAGCACCCATCCTTGGGGTGACTGACTTTTACCTACAGTGCATTTGAAATGAGTTGTCTTTCCTCCCAGCTGTGCCGTTCAGGCTCTTGGGAAGGGTGGGAAGCAGAAAGCCCCCCTTCTAGGGGGACAGGAACTGCGAGGAGCTACTGTGCAACTACTACTAAATCTTCATTTATCCTCTGAGGCCTCTTCAGCTTTGGTAAATCTGTGGGAAAACACTTGGGAAGCTTCATGCTTTTTGTGTTAAAAGACACGATAGAGATTTTTACCTTGGCCAAACCACGATACCTGCTTGTTGAAGAAGCAGGTGGGTTGTGTATCAGATGTCATCACTCTGTGAAGTCCTGCTCTGAGGAACAGGAAATAGCCTTAAAAACAAACCAACCAACCAGCCTGAAACTTCTTTCAGAAAGTGTTAGAATGGGGAAAACCAGCATCTTTTAGCAACTCCCTTGAAAATGACTGTGCAATTCCTAGGCAGGTTCCAGCCTGCAGCTGGTTATGAGTTCAGGATCTACCCTGAGATTGGAGTGCTTCAACCAGTTTAAAGTTTGGCTAAGCTTACAAATAACTACAGATTCGAAGTTCTAAGGAACATCACCAGGTGGGTCCAGCAGTGGTGACTCTTGGCATGGCTGCCGTAAAAGAGACTTAGCCAGGCAGTGCATGGGGGATAAGGCTGCTGAGCTCCAGTCTGTTGGCAAGTGGTGATGTTCCAGGGCTGTTATGCTGGGGAGTGGATTTTATGGATAATTGTATGTTGCCATCCCAACTGAGAACTGGTCATTTACATCCAGCCCTGCTGGGAGTGTTAGGAGGAGCTACTCAAACTGACAACATTGAGATGAAAACAGCGTTTACAGTTACATGGATCAGAGTCACCAAAAAACTTACCAGTACACAGTATGTCTGTGGCACAGCAGCTCCTTATGAACAGATGTTAACGTGATGTGTTGAGCTTTTCATTAATCCAGCTCCCAGCCAAGGAGTCTGGTTGGATAAGTTTGATCTATTTCTAGTATGAGTATTCCTATCTTCATGATCTTCATCCTTTAATAGTGTGCCAGGCTTGACTTGCCCTAATTTCTGTTAATGTGAATTAGATAAATGGATTGCAGGTCATAAATGGATCTCATCAAAACAGGAGAAACAAAAGAGCATACATCCAAAACATTGGCAGGCTTCCTCTTCTACTAATTGCTTTTGGAGGGAAGAGATATGCAAATAATGCTTGCACCATCCGCCAGATGAACAGTGTTGCATCTCTGTTTACAGCTCACGTGTAGTATTACGGGAGGAGGAATCTCCCTGTCTCCAAAAGTGCAGGGCATGGTTAGGAGCCTCAAGGTAGACTCGAAACCTAGGAGGCAATATTGTTGAGCTGCTGGAGAACATCATCAGCTGGGAGCTACTGCCCCGTGGCTCAGCTGCTGGAGCTGAAGGTACAAGCACTGTGCACTGAAGCAGAGGGAGTGAAAAACTTAAACCCAGTCTGCACAAAGCGCCAGCAGATTGAATCAGTGCCTTGTCTGTATTGCAGAGAGGCGCTGGATTCCGCTTTGTAGTTGGAACAGCGATGCATTGGCCCACTCCAGGGCTTGACAAGTGGAGCATGTGCTTCAGGCCTTAAATGGGTGCTTTCTGTAGGGAGAAGTCTGTTTATGAGTACCTGTATGTGAATTTACCAGCTTGTCTGTTTGAGAGCCTTACTGAGGTAGGAGCTGAGCAAACCTGTGTAAAGTATCTGCCTCAGCAAGGTAGCACACTGCCTGACTGCAGGGTAGTCTGACTCTGGGCAGCAGAATCACTGGGCACCCTCTGCAGCAAACTTGCTCCGTTGTATTAGGTGTGATAAAACTGCTGTGCCAGCTGCTTTCCTATGGTGCCTGGCTCTGCTGATCTGTTTACCTGTATGACCTTTCCCTCTTGTTCCCTACCTGTTTGGCATTATCTTAGGCTGCTTTACTATCAGAAGTACCTTTCTTGAGGTCAATATCTCCTCTGAAAGACACATTTTGTCACGATGGAAGTAAGGGCAGGAACCCAGCCTGTTAGGTCACATCTGTAGCTTTAGTGACTCTGGCATGCAGTGAACCTGTCTTTCTGGACACAAAAAAGAGAGTAGTTGGTTCCCTACCTGTTTGGCATTATCTTAGGCTGCTTTACTATCAGAAGTACCTTTCTTGAGGTCAATATCTCCTCTGAAAGACACATTTTGTCACGATGGAAGTAAGGGCAGGAACCCAGCCTGTTAGGTCACATCTGTAGCTTTAGTGACTCTGGCATGCAGTGAACCTGTCTTTCTGGACACAAAAAAGAGAGTAGTTGGAGCTCATGGGGTGTGGGAGAGGTTTTATGGGGATTACTGGGAAATTCTGATTGTGGAAAACAGCAACAGCTTCTGCCTTGTACATTTTCCTCTTGTTATCCCATGCATTTCGGAGTTGTCTGCCCAGTTCCTGCATTCAGAGTAGAAGTCTCATGAGCAGCAGTCCACCACTACATGGAAACGATGACTGAGGATTGCCAAGGTGTGCTCTTTGAAATGGTTTGTGTGATCCAAACCTGTCTCACAGGTAGCTTGTTGGTAGCTTCTCATGCTCTTTGTCTTTCAAGGCACCATGTCAAATGCACGTCAGATGTGTTTAGCACTTCAGTATTGTAGCACAAAGTAAGTGGGTTACAACTTCAAATGAGGGAACGAGCTGTAAAGGTGGAAGATTCCATGTGAGGTGAGATGCTATCAAAGTCGGCCTTCGAGACCTTTTGACCTCTTGTTTCAGGTCAAGTCCTCACAACCCTTCTGCAGCATCTGACCTCTCAACTTACTCCACTGCCTCACTGATCAGTAATGAAGAGCAGTTTGAAGATTATGGGGAAGGAGATGATGTGGACTTTACTCCCAGTAGCCCATGCCCTGATGATGAGACCAGAACCAACGCCTACTCTGACCTTGGCTCATCTGTATCTTCCAGGTTGCTCCTTATTCGTTAACAAACAATTTTTCAATTTTGTTCTTCTCTGAGCATGGCTGACCCTACCAGAGTTTACGCTGGTTACATAGACTCACCTTTAAAGCAAAATGTTACCAGTTCATGTTCTGCCCTGTGATTGACAGGCTACATTTAATAATAAGAGCTATAGCAAACGTGTTGTTTCTGATAACCTCTGTTGGGTTCTGTTGAAATAACAGGGCTGTTTTGCTGGTAGAGACTCCTTTCTGTCGCAGACAGTAGATTTCACAGTTAGGGGCTAATACTGGAATGTACCTGCTGCAGGCTGGAAACCAGCGTAGTGCTGTGCACCAGCCCGGGTGCAGTGGAGAGAATGCCTGCAAGTGAGCTGCTTCTCTTTAGTGTGCTGATACTCCAGATCCTTAGCACAAACCTGTAAGGGGAAGTGCTGAATACGGCCAGGGGTTGGTTTGAAACAAGCATCCGTATCGACTCTGAATGTCTTGGAGAACATACCCAAGTAGCTGCTGTCTGTTAGGAGCTGGAAATGCCACTACAGTCCACCAGTTTCCTGGATGTGGTCTCAGTCTCTGTAGCTCTTACAATCTGTGACGAAGTCAGTTGCTGATTTTAAAATCCTTCCCCAAGCAAGGGAGTGGGTGAGGAGGGTGGGGGAAGAGCAGAGCGTGAAGATGCTCTAGGATTTGTCCGCTTGGATCAATAGCACACTAAGGTCTTATGCTTCACTGCTAACACAGGACGAGCGCACTGCATCCCTCTGTTCCGCATGCACCCCCCATGTGCTACCCTCCTTTCCAGCACTTCTGAGTCCAGGCTGGCCACCCCTGGCATGCATGCAGAGCCAGCGCCCTGCTCCTCTCCGTGATGATGGCTTGTGTCCTTCGTCCCCTATTTCCTCAGGTTTATGCAACCCTTTCCATTCCCATTCCTGGGGCTCTGTGCACTTCATGCCATGATTGCTCTCTTTTATTTGATTTTATTTTCTCTTTATCATGCCAAGAGCTACTGTTACCTTCTCTTTAGACCAATGTGCATTTCTCCTTCCTTCCTCATTCTAGGGTTCTTTCCATCCTACCATTTGAGGGGGTTTGTGTGCTGACTTCTTACCAGGTGGCTCTGGTTTTCATCTTCCTGTCCTTTTCTTGGAAAAAACACTTCAGGTTGCATGCCAGGCTCTAGTGGGAAGATGGGCAAGATGAGAAGGGGGAGATTGCTGAGGTGGAACATATTAATGTAGCTTCTTTTGCTACATGCATCGCATGGACTCTGTATACCTCGTGCTATTCTTCCAGTCACCCAAACTGATTCTGTCCACTGATACCCAGAACACGTAAAGTCTCAGTTCTGACAGGTAGACTTGCTGTAAGACCAGCATTCTCCATCATCACCTCTAAGTTAGATGAGCTGTGGTTAGAGGTGGTTCTCCAAGTCCTTCATCTGTGATTCAGACACACAGTCAAGAGGAAAATCTCTTGTGAGTTGGTTACCATAGCCCATAACATCTCTCCTTTCCTGCAAACAGTGCTGGCCAAACACCCCGAAAAATGAGGCATGTTTATAACAGCGAGTTACTGGATGTTTACTGCTCACAGTGCTGCAAAAAGATAAATCTACTCAACGATTTGGAAGCCAGGCTGAAAAACTTGAAAGCAAACAGGTAAGCAGCCTATTGCACTGCTTTTAGCAATGCCCCCTTGAAATGGGACTAGTTAGTAGCAGGAAGAGAGGAAGAAAGAGCCTTCTTCTGTGTATCCTGTTCTGTCTTACACATGGGATTCTTACAAAACAGGAAGAAATTCAGACCGTCACATCTAGCCTGAATCAAAATGCTGTGCTTCGTTAGCTAGTAAGTATTTTTCTCACTTAAGGTGCAGACAGCATTAATAAAAAATATTTTAACAAATGAGCTCTTTGATTGCAGAGTGAGAGTAAGATTTCCAGGTATTTTTCCCAGGAAGCAGAGTCTGCTGTGCTCCTTAGTGCAGATCTAGAGTTAGCTACTGTTCTCTCCAGTTGGGAAAGAGAGATATATATGGCAGATCCTTAGATAATGCACATAACCTTATGTACAGAGTCACAGAATTACGTAGATTGGAAAAGACCTTTAAGATCTAGTCCAATCTCTCTTGAGGCTGTTGGTCAGCAGGGGTACTTCATTCCTGTAGGATTTTTTTTTTTGTCCTAAAGGAAACTTGGAAAAATAATTAATCCTATGGCAGAAGTGACTTTTGGTGTTCTTTTGCAAGCTTTTTCCTTATGTTTCTATCTCTGCCCCTCCATCCACTTCTAAACTGTGCTGAGAACTTGGAAAGAATCCAGTGCTTCCAACAGTCAGCTCGGGTTTTTGAAGGGATTTGGTGGGCTTCTAGCTCCCCCTAGAAACTGAATGTAAATCCTGCCTGTGTGTGTAATCCGTGGCACAGAGCGCACTGCACTGCTTCTGCTCTTGGTGCCACGGCAGCACAGTACTTGATGGGAGCAATCTGCCTGCCCTGGCAAGGAGTGTGCTGACACCCAGACAGGGACCGGCCAGGTCTTTGGTTGTTGTATGAGTGAGGCTGCAGATACCTGGCTGAGAGTGATGTTCTGAGCTGTGTGTCCGTGTGCACACAGAGGTTTGACATCCTCTTACCGAGGGATGCAGCTGCACATTTTGATTGGGTTCTAGTGCTGTTATCTGAGTCTGGTCCTTCGTTTAGAAAATAGTAGTCTCTGGCTGCAATAGGGAACTGTAAAAATGGAAAACATCTCGGTTCCTATGCTGAACTGGGAAGCATTATGAGAAAGGAGAAACTGTTTATAAAATCATCTAAAAACTGGAAATCCAGAATAAATGTCCATCACTAACTCAGTGTCCTTTGTGGTGTTTCTAATGTTAGTTTCATTCTGATTTACACTGACAAATCTCCACTAAATATAACAGTATTTGCAAATTGACTTATTAATGATCACATAATTTGTGGCTCCGTTCATCTTCACGTTGTTGGTAACTGCAGCTTTTGATTTAGTTGTCTACCTTTGATCTTAAGGTCTCTTCCAACCCAAACTACTCTAAGAGTATTGTTCACAGAATCATTCTTTTACTTCACTAAAAAGTCAATATTGTGTTTCATTATGCAAGTCAGCTGAAGTTTAAACTAAGATTGACTCCAACACTGATCAAATAAATGTTTAATTCCTATATCATTCCTTCTGTATCCTTGTAGCCCTAACAGGAAAATATCAAGCACAGCTTTTGGAAGGTAAGAGTCTTCAACTTTTTTATTAATACATGTGGAATCAGCTGTAACAATTCCATAAGTGGGGGTGGGAGGAGAGAGGATGACTAAGTTTAGGAACACAGAAGTGTGCCAAGACCATTTTTCAAAGGAAGGGGCCTGTATTTGGATAGGGATGTTACAGAATATAGAAGCCACTGCTAGCCTCGGAGCAGGCCCCTGAACTGGGAGGAGCTCTGTTAAGAACATAGTTGCTTCCTTGCCTGCCACCTTTCTTCATACTGCTACTCCCTCAGTCCAGCTACTGCTACTTTCACCCTCGTCACGTGGGCCTGGTTGCTGAAGTGCAAAGGAAAGCAAGAGCATCCCTTTAAGTTTTTACTGTATGAAGTTTTATAGATTAACTGTACCAACCAGTGCAGAGTGGTGACCTTATTTTAAATTTCTAGTAAGGCAAATACAACTCAGTACGTAGTGCGAATAAGGCTAAGTAGTTTTTCAACTGCGTTAATGCTGGTGGCAGATCCGACCAAAAGCAACAAAGAACTCGCACCCTAGAACTAATGTCATTGATTATGCTCAGTATGACTTCATTTAGCTACCAGTCTCTTGTACAACTTGAGCTGTAATTGTCACTGAAATGACTGCACGGATTTTAGCATCAGGTGTTCAAAGTGCAAAGCCAGGCTGTAAGACAGTACCAGATTCTTTCACCTCAGTCCTCATCAGGCAAAATAATTATCCTTCTGCTCTTTCAGACAACTTTTCCACAACAGTAACTTCAGCAGCAGTAACGGCAGCACAGAAGACCTGTTCAGAGACAGTATAGACTCCTGTGATAATGATATAACTGAAAAGGTGAGAAGTTCTGTGCACTGCAATTAACGTAGCCAACAAAATCCTGCTGGAGACGTGCATCAATTGATAAAGCTCTCCTGCTCACAGTTACCGGTGACCTGAAGTAGCTTATTCAAAATGTCCTTGATATTCCACTAATATTATGATTTTGCTTCACAGAATTGCAAGAACTGTGCAAGTACAGATCTGAGCATTGTATTAGTACTGCTTTACTGTGTATTTGCACTGATCACCTGCAAGAAGATGCAGGGTCTGGGGAACTCAGAATTTCAGAGCTTAATTTCACTGCTGGCTTTGCAGGGAAGCGTCCCCCTTTAAGAAGGGTGGCATAGCTAAATGCTAATGAGGAACAGTAAGGGTGTGTATTGACAGAGACTCAAACTCTCAATTCTTTTCCACTTTGCTTTCTAGGTAACATACCTAGAAAAAAAGGTGACAGAACTGGAGAATGATAGCCTGACGAACGGTGACCTGAAGAGCAAACTGAAACAAGAGAACACGCAGCTAGTTCACAGGTAATAAAGCACAGAGCCAGTTCTCTTTATCATGTTAGAGCCGAACTAGAACAGAGTTGTAGGGAAGGAACATCTCCACCTGTAAAATATGACCAAGTCTTCTGTCTTAATGCTGACAGACAAAATAAGATAAGGCTTCATCTGAGAAGTCCAGGTGGAATAGGGCTGCCTTGCTGAGTTTTCAGCAAGCAGAGTTGTTCCAAGCAAGTTTCTTAGTACAGAGATGTTACTGACTTGTACAGAGCAAGCTCTTCTGTTACAAGAGAGGTTACTGCTGGATTTTTCTTGCACATAGCAAGAACAAAGGATGGATCATAGTCCCAACTTCCTGAGAATGAAAGAATAATAGATGAACTGATACTACTTAATTCTAAGCTATTTGGAAGATTAAATACCAAGAGAGATATTGGGAGAGGTTAAATCCCAAGAGAGAAGGTGAAGAATGAAATAAAGGAGTGGGGAGGAGAGATGCAATGAAGTTGCGTGCATGTCGTGATTTTTTTAAGTACTTGTGAAGCTGTTACTGAAATGAGATCTGTTTTCCGTAGAGTTCACGAGCTAGAAGAACTGTTGAAAGACCAAGAGACATCAGCAGAACAGACTCTGGAAGAAGAGATAAAGAGACATCGAGAAGCATATAGCAAGTATGAAAAAGAGAAAGGCACCGAAATTGAACTGCTGAACACAAGGTAACAAACCTCTTGGCGCCACCCAGAACTGAGTGCAAGTTCTTTTCTTCATTCTTACTTTGCGTGTAAACGTAGGCTGGTCACAACCATAGAGTGCACAGATGGTTACAGGTTAGTTGTTCTGTGGAGTAGCTGTTGCAGTTGCATGTCTAATGCCCAAAAGCTTGGAGGATGCTTTACATTAATGCTTTAATCCACGTGGCCCATGTAGACAGCTTAGCTGGATATTTGGCATGGATTCAAGGAGGGAATTGTGACCAGCTGTAGCAAACACTTGTGTCTGCATTTGTTTCGTCCTACTGATTCTTTTTAGAGACCTGTTGAAAGGAACATAAGATTCTGAGGGTCAGTGTAGCATTTTTGGCCCCAAAACTGAAGAAAAAGCACCCAATAGCTCGTGATAAAAAATGCTAGCATTAGAAAGATTATCGTGCTTAGGTTTTCTGTCAAATGCAAGTGAAACGGCTTTTTGGAGCATGTCGTTTGTGTGTCTGCATTCTTGAAGAGGCATTTGCTTTAAGGTTTTTTGTTATTGACACAGGGTTCAGCAACTGGAAGAAGAAAATGGTGAGCTGAAAAGCACTGTCACACGACTGAAGTCACAAACGGAGAGACTAGATGAGGTAACAACACCCCTGGGTGCTCGAGCAATTTAACAGCAGCTTGATGTTAAACAGTAAGAGCAAACTCGTAACCTGATTGGCCCAGCTGCTTTAACTTGCCTTCCCTAAACAAGAATGTTGGTGGAATTGGAACGTTTCCTGAGACACGTAGCAGCTGTAGGCTCGTGTTGTAAAGCTGCAGATGGCTCGTGCACTTGCAAGCCTGCTGTCAAGTTCTCCGTTTGTCCTAGGAAAGGCAACGCATGTCAGATAGGTTGGAAGACACTAGTCTGCGGCTGAAGGACGAGATGGATTTGTACAAGAGAATGATGGACAAGCTGCGGCAGAACAGGCTGGAATTTAACAAGGAGCGGGAAGCCACGCAGGAGGTAGGTGTGAAGAGGGATGTAAGCCCAGTCACGTCATCTGCATGGAAGCCCATCTGCAAAAGAATGGGTAGCCAGGATGAACACGGAAAATACAACATCCAGGGAAAGTATTACTGAGTTGTGTGTCTATGGCAGGGGTGCCCATAGGGTGATGACTGATGCAAGAATACCTGATAAATGGCAATCCCTGACTCAAAGGGTTTACAGCTCTTTGAGAACTTACAGCCTTGAACGTGTACCCTAACATTTCCTTTACTAAGTTTGCAATGGGAATTAGGCCTCTCAAACGTGAAGCTTAAACCGCTTCGGAGCAGGAAGTGGCGCTGATCTCGAAGTGACCTGTCCTTCCACAGAAGAGTGAGAGGCTGTATTGTAGGGCCGTGCACCCTCAGCAGGGCGCACAGGGCGCTTGTGTCATTGTACAGGGTGCAGCGCTGAGGTGGCTGCTGCCAGGGAGGGCTGGTTGTACAGGGGCTGCAGAGACATTGCTTGCTTGCGTGCCTGCAGCTCATTGAAGACTTGCGGAAGGAACTGGAGCACTTGCAGCTGTACAAGCTGGAATGTGAGCGTCCTGGGCGTGGGAGAAGCTCTTCCTCCAGTGTGAGTGAATTCAACGCCAAAACCAGAGAGGTGGAAATGGAGCATGAAATAAAACGGCTGAAGCAGGTGAGCAGGGAGCCTCTCAATCCATGTAAAATGTACAGGACCGCTTTGAAAACTGCCTGTCACTCCAACCCCTAGCACACTGCCTTCAGGTTTTGTCCCTGCCTTCTCACACAAGCACAGGACCCAGATTGCATCTGGCTGGGACTTCTTTGCACAGGCGATGTGCACGTAGGAAACACCTGTGATTCCTGTCAGTGGTGGCAAGAGTTGCTGTTAGCTTGCAGCCTCACTCTGTGTCATCCAAGCTACCTGTGATTTAAAAAACTTATTTAATTTTTAATGAAACCGTGTAGGAAGAACTTAAAAGCAATGCCTTTTCATCTTTGAATAGGAGAATCAGAAACTTCGTGACCAAAATGATGATCTTAATGGACAGATCCTAAGTCTTAGTCTTTATGAAGCTAAAAATCTCTTTGCAACGCAAACAAAAGCCCAATCACTGGCTGCTGAGATTGATTCTGCATCAAGAGATGAGGTAATAGGCTTTTTTAATCAAGTACTACATCCAAAAAAGTGCATTTTTCAATGTAATTAACTGTCAAGGTTGAACTGTCTGAAGCTGACAAATTAACAGAAAAAATCTGCTTTGCTAGGAGTTTGAGTATTAAAAGATTGCCTTAAATCTAACAGTGTTTCTGGATGCTCCTTTTAATAATATCACACTTCCATTTGTCTCTCAAAAATTGGAATTCTTAGAAGCTCAGTGAAATGGTTTACAGTGGATTTATTTTAACATCTTCTGTCTTACAGGGTATTGTGATATTACAACATCATTAACATACAGAAATTACCATACCTAGTTACTTAGGGTTTCAATTTCTGTTCTAGATTTAGTTCTAAGTTACTTCAGTAACAAGCTCTTCCTTAGATTTACATTTGAGCTATATATTCCCTCAGTTTGAGGGTCCTTTCACAGCTCAAAGGTGTAGTGACACACCTGTATTTAATATAGAACATAGAATATTGGGAACATAGAATATTCAGTGGGTTGTTCTTGAAGAGAACGTAGCTGTGTTATTGTGGACTTCTTTTGAGAGAGCATATGGACATGATACAGAGGTGTAACCCATGTTGTTCCCAGTGCAGAACACTGACGTCCTTGTTCTGGTCAGCAGCCTTTCATGCCAAGGGCTTTAGATTTCAGTAGGAATGAAGAAATTGAGTATCATGAAGCTCTTGCACTCGGATAAAGAATCTCATTCATGGTGTGGATGCAGGATGGATTGGTCTGTTAAATCGGGAATTTGTTTTAAATGGCCTGCCAAAAGGTTCCTGGTGATGACTGTTCACCACCTTCCTTAATAGTAAAGATCTTAAACATACAGATCGTTTCTAATACGCACACAGGTTGGAGCTAGAGGTAGAATCTCTATCGCAAAAGGGAATTGGTGATCCTGAGCAGGCAGTAGTCTCTTACCTGGCTGAATTTAATGCTATTATGTGAACTAGTGAGAATGTTTCAAGAGTAACTTTGTTGTGTTTCAGCTCATGGAAGCCCTTAAAGAACAGGAAGAGATAAATTACAGATTGCGACAGTATATGGACAAGATCATTTTGGCAATCTTAGACCACAACCCCTCTATCTTGGAGATAAAGAATTGAAATGAATATGACAAAGAAAAGCAGCAACTGCCTGATATTTCTGCACATGCCACTGGATCTAAACAACACTCTGATACTGTAAATTAATCTATAAATATATACATACACTACGTGTGAGTGTGGGTGCACGGGTGTGTTTATATGATGTTTGGTTCACTGTTACTTGTCACTGAATTGGCTTGGTTAGACTTTTTCCATGCACTTTCGATACCTGTGATGAGATGGATACTGTATATTAATGTAATAACAATGTAACTGGATCATGCTGTTTTAGATACTGGACAAAATGACTCTACCTCTAGTTGTAAAGGTAAAAAAAGACAATGGAAACATATGGATGTGCCCTAACTTTAGGAGTAAGAATTGTTCTTTCGTTCTTCCAGGAATTTGGGTACCAGAAACCAATTAACATACCCAGGTTCAGTTCCTGACTGGTGCTGACTCTGTAATTTCCTATTTGATTTAGTTTTAGCACTCAAACCACACGTAGGATTAAAAAAAGCCCCAAACTTTGGGGAAAAGAAAAGACACAAAGTAAAAGGGAAGAAGAGGAAGATATTGCAGAATTTTTGCAGTTTGTGAAAAATCACCATCCACTTGTTTGCCACTGTCAGCACAAAGTGCTTTTAATGTAAGATCACTTTGGAGCCTGCTTTGGGATGCTCTGAGCCAGCCTGCTCTTTACCGTGTGTGCGCATACGTATGTTTTTTATGCCAGGGTCCCTGTAGCATTGAGGTGAAGAAGCCCTTCAAGTCTGTTCCCCTATTTTCAGGGGTTTATCATGGGTTATTAAGATAAATTCTGAGATCCTGCCCCTTTCCCTCACCCTTAATTTTAAAGATTTTACTTAAGGAACATGTTTCTGTTCTTATGGAAAAAAAAAAAAAGGCAAAACAAAACAGCAATTAAAAAAGATTGCATGAAGTAGCTCACTTTAGGCAGAGGAGGAGCAGCCCTTGAAATTGTGCGTTGAGTTGCTTTCCCACCCCAGATACGCTGCGTTCCTTTGAGACTGACATTTTGTGGCCAAGCTGTGGAATGGACCGTCTGGGTCCTAACCCGGTGGAGGAGAGAAGTCACATGTGGAGTGACTTCTCCCCATAGGGCAGTAAAAAGAGAAGGAACTTGGTCTTGCAGAAGTTGCCAATCCAGACTGAGTACACACGTGCATATCCAAAGCTCTGAATAGGGAGCACATCCTGATTTAGATGAGCAGTTGTGCAGGTACTTAACTTTAAATGTGTACTGGGACTGCTCGTAGAAGTCAGCGGGACAGAACATAAGCTTTAAAGTTGGGCGTCTGCTTAAATGCTGCCTTAAATAGGGATGGACTTCAACATGTGCCTGTGTTCTCCTGGGCTGGATCTGTGTACTGTAGGGCTAGGACCTTTTTAATTAATAATGTAGTTTATATAAGGAGCTTATGGAATTGTTGGAATAGTTGAATTCTAAAAAGAAAATTTTATTCCAGGCACTTTTCGTTAAAGTAAAAACTTCACACTTTTGGTTCACACCGACTGGCACAGAAAGCTAGGCCCAAATGTCTGGCTCTCCCAATGCATAGAGATGTCTCCTCTATTGAATATGCTCCCAGAAGAATGTTACAGTAGCAATGACTGTGCTTTTCTGTGTACTTCTTGCTGTTGGCAGTGTCTTGCCCCTAGTATTCTCTTGATGTATCTTGGTGTTTATGTGATGCATTTTTCCTGAATTGGAATACATAAAACGTATTCTGTTATGGATGTAAATATATATATATATATATTTTTCTGCAACCTCTGTGCTCTTGCCTTCAGTGATGTGTTACTGGAGTGATGGGAAGTGGGGGGAAGTACTGAAATCAGGCTTTCTTGAAGGCAAGAAGATAAAACCGGTTTGTTTCTCTGTATCTGCATTAGGCAGGTGTAAAGTAACTGGAAAGTGAAAGGGACAGAGGAGTAACTGGGACGCAACACCCCAACGCACAAAGATGTCTGTAGGACTTAAGTGCTTTGGGAGAAACGGTATGGTCTTGTTCAAAGAGTGACATCTCGGGGCTGGTTTCCTGAGGCTCTAGTGGAATCTGGAGGAAGGGATTTAAAGACGACTCCTCTGCCACCTGGAGATGGTGTAAAATGTCTTGTGCTAAACTTCAGCAGCTTCTGTTTGTGGAGACGCAGGTAGAACACCATGGAAACCCCACGCATGAGCCTTTCCCACCTACTGCTGGATGTGCCACCCAGAAGGTAGGAGAGGAACAGTTAAGCCAGCTTGGTGCTACCTACAGCTCCCTGCCTGCAGGACTCTTGCCCTGCACTGTAATGATGGCATTTCCCTCTGCATGGTGCTGGCTGTGGGTTGTACCAAGGACTTTGCTCTTTTTATAGGCCACAAAGAACTGTTTCAAACTGTCAGGTGGCTTTTGCTAACCTGCTGTGACAAGCAGGGCTGGGTGAGCCAGCAACCCTGCTCCTGGAGCTGACTGTTTGGTAAGTTCCACTTCTGGCCTGCTCTCATGCAGTGCATTTAAATATGAGTGAAGCTGTGGCAGGTCAGACTGGTCTCTGAATGTTTTCCCTCGAATAATTTTCAGTAAACTGGTCTTAGCTTCAAAATTTTAATAATCTAAACCCGTTCCCATTAGGGTAGAACATCAGCAAATGTCAATAATCTAAACCCGTTCCCATTAGGAAATGTTGAGGACTATTTCACTGAAAATGACGCTGAGCACTTGGGAAGCAGAGAGCCTGGCTTACTTCACTGGGACCACAGAGCCCGTGGACATGAACAGAAGACATGACTGTAGTGATAGCCACATTTATGTGCAGGTAATTACATGTAAGAGGCAAAGAGTCTTTAATAATGACAAATAGTCACTAAATCTGGCTGAAATCCTGAAAGCAGTATTCTAGCCAAGGGTACCCAGCAGTGGATTTTTCTAAAGATGTGCAGAACTTCCTGTTTAGCTCTGCACCCAACTGCACTAGCGTTAACAGCTCTTCCTTGCTCCGTTGTTTTGGCTTGAAGTGGTGTCTTACCACCGTGTTGGTGGCATTTGTAGCTTAGTTTTATTGCCTAAAGGATTTACACTCCGCTCCTGTGGGGCCCTTGGTGTGGTACTGCTTTCTGTTATTGTTCAAATACTATCCAGATACTTGCTATGTTTGACAAACAGTGTGAATTGGAGGTGGGAGAGGCATTTCACTGGCAGATACAATTTCCTCTAAGGAATCCACCTCTGAAAATACTAATCAGCAATTGCATCCTTAGACTGAGTAACTGCTGATATTAGACCAACTTGTCTTGCAATCCAAGCCTTGGAGAACTCTTCAATCCCAGGAAAGAAGTCATCACGCTTGATGAAATGCAGGTAACTGCTTAATAAGGGATCACTTGATGGGTCACTGGGGCAGGGAGAAGAGTAATCGATATTGATGTGCAGAGAGTGCATATGTTGATCAAACGTCAGACAGACACACTGGCAGAACAGACTGGAGATGTGGGAGATAAGGAGGCACTGGTTTCAGTGTCTGTTCTCTGATAAACTTCTCAGTTCTTTACTGCTGACAGGCCGGCTGGGGAGGGCAGTCTGCCTGTCGGTGTCACTGCTGGTGGAACAATGGCTTCACTTCCCCGGGTAAATAACTTCAGACAGACATGTGGTATTGTCTTGTTCCAGCAATACTCAAGTGCAGTAGAAGTTCTTGTGTCAAAACCGTGCTTCTCATTTAACCCTCGGGGATGCAAACACAGTCCAAGATACTGTATCTTGATCTGCTCCTTAGTTCACTCTACTGTAGATTCTGAAAAGCTATGTGATATTCTGGTCAAACCAGTTGCAAACCACTGCAGGTATTTTTGTACATTAAAAAAAAATGACTTGCTGCTGGCTAGAAGCTGTCCTTCATCGGGCTAATCCCACACACAAGTACTGCAGAAAAAACACCTCATTCAAAACTTGCACTTAAGGGTAGCAGAAATGTAGTCACTTGAGACTTTTCTGATACTGGCTGCTTCCCCCCAGACAGCAGTCTTCGGCTGCTGCCTGCTGCTGGTTTCGGAGTGTGATGCTGGTTCAAAACCACCTCGACATCAAAAGAGTATTTTTCTGCTTTTTGAATAACTTCTATGAAAGACTCAAACTGTTTGAGAATGTGTCATGTTTTGAAGTGCAGCAGTGACAAACTGTAAACATCCCATCTATTTTTAAGGAGTTTTTAATATGCAGATTTGTAGCAAGTCTCAGGAAAAAAAAAATCCAGTACGCTTTTACCGCCAACCTTTCTTCTGTGGTCTTGGGAGGTACTCAGATGCTTCTCAGCCAGCTCCATAGGGAGTTGAACACAGCCTTATTAATTCTCAGAGATGTGTATCAACAAACACTGTGCTGTCTGAATGCAGCGGTGCTCCATTCACTTCGGTAGAACTGCAGTACACGCCAGAGTGGATCTTGGCCTACAGTGTGTCAGCTCCCTAATCTGGTTAGTAACTGGGGGCTTGGAAGCTAATACATAAACATACATTGTGGCCTGCTACATCAGTCACTGTTCAGTGGTCTCTGCATCATAGTGCTGGTGACATGTGATGGATCTAAGAACGAGAATTTACAGATACATGAACACTTTTTTATTCTTCTTAAATGGCAGTGAATGTACAGTGGTTTTCTCTTAAAACAAACACTGTATGGTGTGGTCTGAGGGATTTTTTCCAAGGAAGGAAGGAAGTAGCAGCTGATCAAACACTTGCCAAATCAGTGGCTTGGCTTATATTGACTTAAGTGAAAACTTGACTCAAACTTAAACTGAGCAGTTCCTGGATTAATTCTGGTGAAGTAGCAATGCTGGTATTCTCATGATGTCATTTGTTACTCAAGGAACATTGTCAAGAAGGTATGACAGGTGATGGAACACAGCTGGTTTTAAAGGGTATAGTTCAACAGTTGCTGGCATTTTGTTCCTTTGCAGCATCCTCGGGGTTGTTTTCTCAGTATTTTTCACTTCAAAATATTGTTCCATGGAGCAGTTTGCTGTTGAAACATGTGGTACGTGTGGGTTTCTTATGTAATGAAACTCTGCATGGTCCATGACATTAGAGTTTGATGGGCATTGCAGTAGGTATTTGGTCTGAATCCTGTAGTCCTGCATAATGCACTGGTAGTTGCTCTGATGTGCAAAAGACTTGTTTCTTCATGGGATTCTTCCCCCACTATCTTCTGTTGATATTTACACTCTCGGTCTTGTCCCTAGCCACTGTGCCCGCTGTCAGCATGTCTGTGTGCCTCAGGGTAGCCACTTAGAGAAGACGGGAGGTGCAAACACAATATTCTTAGCCTCAGTACAGCTTTAGCTGCTGAGACAACAAGCTCTGTCTTTATACCAGGCCAGTCCTCTCCACACCTTTTATGTGTTCCTGAAAACAAGTTGTGTCCCATCTACATGAAAAAATGTAGTAGCTGATTGTCACGATGTGCAAGCACGTAGGGTGTATAAGCCCAAATCCATCCAG